GAAGTCACCTTATATTTTACATCAGTAGGGGGGCCAGCGGACATCTTATGTTGAACAACATTAAGGAGACCGGAGTTCACATTATTCATGTATTATACATCAGTAGGGGGACAGGAGGTCACCCTATATTGTATATTATTTGCGGGACCAGGGGACACCTTATATTGAACATCAATAGGGGGACCAGAGGACACCTTTTATTGAACATTAATAAAGAGACCAGAGGTCACTTTATACATGTATTGTACATCAGTAGTGGGATCAGAGGCCACCTTATATTGTCCATCATTAGGGGGACCAGAGGTCACCTTATATTGTACATCCTTAGGGGGACCTGTGGACACCTTATATTGAACATCATTTTGGGGACCAATGGACACCTCCTATTGTAAATGTACATCAATAAGGAGACCAGAGGTCACCTTATTTTGTACATCTGTAGGGGGACTAGAGGTCATCTTATATTAAACATCAGTAAGGAGACCAGAGGTCACCTTATATTTTACATCAGTAGGGGGACCAGAGGTCATGTTATATTATACATCATTAGGTTGACTAGAGGCCACCTTATATTGTACATCAGTAGGGGGACCAGAGGTTATCTTATATGGTACATCAGTAGGGGACAAGAAGACACCTTATATTGAACATCAATAAGGAGACCAGAGGTCACCTTATATTGTACATCATTTGGGGGACCAAAGGACACGTTATACTGTAATTTAGTAGGTGACCAGAGGACACCTTATATTGACATCAATAATGTGACCTGAGGTCTCTTTTTTCTTGTATTGTACATCAGTAGGGGGACCAGAGGTCACATTATATTGTACATTTATAAAGAGACCAGAGGTCACCTTATACATGCATTGTACATCAGTAGGGGGACCAGAGGACACCTTAAATTGAACATCAGTTAGGGGGACCAGAGGTCACCTTATATTGTACATCAGTAGGGGTCCAGTGGTCACCTTATATTGTAAAGTACATCAGTTGGGGGACCAGAGGACATTTTATATTGAACATCAATAAGGAGACCATATGTCACTTTATTCGAGGGCTGTTCAATAAATAATGTCTCCGGTGCTCGGAAAGAAACAAAAGACACTTTTCAATTATTTAGTCATAATGATTTAACCTAATATTATCTTTTGATTAAAACACATGTCTGTTACATGTTTTATCCAATTTCTGATTGTTTTTAGAACTCATTTTTGGGTATAACCTTTTGTATACTGGATTATGGCAGACCTTATGATTTCCTGGACTTGTTTATTCCTTCTGAAAGGCTTTTTTCAAGTTTGGAAAATGAAACAAGTCAAAAGGCGAAAGATCTAGCGAATATTGTTAATGTGAAAGAACATAAAACTTCTGTTTATCCCCAAGACTCCTTTACTTTTCAGGGCGTGCGGGTTTGGACGCTGTCATGAAAAAATCTTATGAGTGGATTTTTTATTCTCATTAACGTTTTGATTTCCCCCCCCCCAAAAAAAAAGTTACTTTCTAGATTCCTCCAGCATTTAAACTGCCTCCCGAATACGAATATAAACAACAAGACCACCAATATTTAAGAAAAATGCATATAAATCGGTATTTGTGCTCTTGCAATTCTCTGCTCTTCTCAGACCTTTGCTGTTATTGCCAAGTACATCTTATTATAAATTTAGTTTTTAGGGGTTTAAGCAAAAGATTGCAATTTCGTTATCTGTTTGAAATTCAAGCAAAAGTGGATAACTAAAGTCACTGATATTTTTAAATAATTGTTTAGATATTTTAATAAATTGTAGTACAAGAATGAGACAAAGGTAATCTTATGTTGTACATTATTACGATGTGAAAGTTGTAAGTAGAAGTTAAAATCATGGTATGTGTAGAATTACTTTTCAAATTCTCTCCAAAAAAAAGTTGCGACCTAATTTTTTTGACAGGGAAAAAAGTGCACAATTTCTCCTAATTCTCCAAATGTATGTAACTGGAATTAATTGGGAGGATGTCTTCAAATACAGTTTATGTATCCTGAAAGTAAATAATGAATGGAGCATATTTTTAAGTTTTTTTTTTAAAAATGTACTTTTGATTGGTTTACGAATTTGATGTGTTAAATGTAATTCCGGGGAAAGGGGAGGAGAACTCCATGCAGCCCCAAACTTTGCAATACAGGGGGTTCATCTTCTTTGTAAGATAAATAAAATCAGGGGCTAACTAGAAAGTGTTAAAGTGATGAGATCGCCTATTGAAGCATGACCTCATAAGGAAGACAAAGGAGACTGAATAATTAATGAACAAATAATTATTCCATTGTGTTAAAGGATTGGTGAAAAGTCCGATCGAAATGAAAAGGTAGGGGGTGGTTAGGGGCAAGATCTTCATCCTCCCCCTGCTTGTTAGAGATCTGCGAATGCAGAGACTGGTCGTCGTTTTCTCTGAGTCGCTTACTAGTAGTAAGGAGAACAGAAGTTAGGCACTGTGTTATAGAGATACTATAACCTTGCATGGAATAAAAAAAATCATAGGGGAGACCAAAGATCACCCAACATAACCCATAAATGTTAAACTCTTATATATCATATATCTTTATAATATTGCAGTTAATGTTGCTCAGCAACCCCCCCCCCCTTCCCCCCTCAGATGGTTATTCCTTTGACAAAAAATAAATGTTCTTAGTTTTTTACACTGTAAATGCTTCACAGTATAACGGTTTATTCTATTAGTTTTCTTCACTGTTACCATGGTCCCATGTCTCGGGAAAAAAACGACACGTACTGGTTTATCTTTATAAATAAATAGAAACTTTCACTTGACTTCTGAACAATATTGTTACAATGTCTTACTTGTTTTGAAAAAAAAATTATTTAATTCCATAATACTTCAAACGCGAGTCTATTTATTATCTTAATTTTGATATGATAAATGTACCTTAACTCATGTTTTGAGATTATCAATTGTAATCGTGAAATGAAATCCTCCCTTTTAAAAAAAATTAATAAATACATTATGTATAGGCATAACTTTTTATTATCATTTATTTAATTATTTGAAAGATTGTTTATAGTTATGGCATATTCTTATGATTTAAAAAAGAACGCATTGATTGCTTCTTTATCATGTTAGCATATGCGGTAGGCATCAAAAGCCTGAATGTTAATTCGATGGTCGTTACGATCTCCAGACATGGTACTCAAGATATACACAACGGCAGATAACTAGTTGTCAATCAAATCAAAGTATCCAATCCCAGGTTTAATTTAAGATGATTGACAGGGGTTCTTAGACCAGGTAAATTTGAAGGAGGTGCTTATTTCCTCCCCCTTTAAGTAAGTTCCAAGAAAGCTTTCATTCAGAATTGCGCTTAAAAATCGATTATCAAAGACCTATATATAATAAACAAATGCTAAGTATTTTAGTTTAATGTTTTATTCGAGTTGGCAGGTATTGTCCACAGTGGTCTACACAACAGTGGGGCAGCCGGCAAAATGGCATACCCCCAACATCAACATAAGTTGTGCCCTCCCTGACGGGAAAAGTAGCACTCTGGGTTGACCTCAATCGTGCTACGGACACATTTCAACACAAATTGTCTTTTACTTAATTATATTATTTTGCTTTAGATTTACATTATATAAGCTATAACTTACAAAGTCAACATCACATATATCAACATCAACCATCACATATATCAACATCAACCACAAAAAGTCAACAAAATCAACAGTTCAATGGTTAAATTGAAGGTGACGATTTCGCCAATACGACCACTGTGAAGTATAGTCTACTGTCTTTCCCCGAACTCCTTGAAATCATGGATAATTCGCCAAGTTGACACCTGTCACGCATGGTATTCGGGCAGAGATCATTCCAAAGGTCCTAGAATACGGAAATAGCAGGCAATTCTGATCAGCACCGTTACTGCGTTAGTCTCCTTCAACGAAATCTCTAATACCTGAGAGGACAAAAACAAAACCCCACAGCAGAAAAAGATTCTCAATGACATTTCCATAACTTTAATAAATTGGCTATACCTAACCCATGTAAAACAATGTACATGTAAACGTAATTTAAACAAACAAAAGGAGAAAGAGTATATACTTAACACCAAGCTCAAGGGTTGAGGTGGGAGGGTATTTCATAATACAGAAAAATAAATTGGATACTTTCATCACCCACCTTTCACTTTCATTGATGCATAGAAAAGGGGAGATAACCCGTAAACCTAGTGACTACGTACTGACACTGTATGGATGGATAAATAAATTCCGGCTTATCTCATTCATTCGATTTTCACAAAAAGGAGGTGAATGATGACATATAATTAAAGGATAGAGCTTTGATAACGACGCATATTGTGAGATGAACTCAAATATGCGGTATTATATTAAATATATTGAATAAAGTAATAACATGTAATATTTGACTTTTATCGATGTGTCATTAATTTTTTGTTGATAGTAGCCGTTTCTTTAGTATGTCAGACTGGGTTATCTTTACTAATAAGGATTTTTTGATATATTTTTTCCTGTTTAAAATGCGTTCATGTCACAGTCGAATGTAACGTTCGACGTAAAGACACGGGACCTGGAATCTTGGACCTCACTGCTGCATGCTGCGTGAATACAGATCACAATACCCATAAGTGCAGACTATTCGATAAAAATTTCACAATAATAAACAATTTCTATGTGTATGTTCTAAATTTGTTTTGAGAGAATCGGTATCGCACGACGGAGAACGTATTTTTGTAAAGATGAAATTGTATTTAAAAAGAAGCATTACCTGCATAGATTTATTAAAGCATAAATGTGTTTCAAGTATACATGTATCATTTGCTTAGGATTTGCCTTATGGTCATGGTGTAGTAAAATAATAATGGGTGTACAATATACATGTATAAAACATTCTTTTAAAAGATGGCAATATTTGTTAGGAAATTTGATAACTTGTGCTTTGTATGAGATTAAATAATCGACTGGGCGTTATTGTTGTCGGTAATCCAAGCATAAAATAAGTAAATGAGCTTGCCGTACGGCAAGGTTAATTCATTCATACCTTTAAATGCAATGTTTAGTTACAAATGTTTTATTATATAAAGTTTTGCATCTGTACAAGCAAGACGGTAAGTAAATTCCAAAAGATATTGAGTTTCTATTGTTGTAGTAGAGGTCTTCTTGCCTTAAATTTATCTAGAAGAGGGATTTGATTTGTTTGTTTGTTTGATGTTATTTTGTTGTTAATGATTTTTGTTTTGCTTAAAATTACTAAAACTAGCATAAAAAGTAAACAATTTCCATATAAATTTATCAAATACGGTATGATAAATAGATAAATAAAGATAGAAGAGGGTATCTTTAAATAAGAAATAAAGTTCATGCAGTTTGTGAATGAAATATAATATTTGCTAAACACAAAGAAAAGGTCTTGTACTTGACGTGTCCGATGCATTGTATTTTTCCCAATGGACAGGATATATTATAATACAAAAATCTCCTCATACCTTTTTAATGAAAACAAGACCAATACAAAAGTGCCTGACTGCTGATAAATAAAATTTTCTTGCATGGTTTTCTTTTTTTTTTGTTGTTGTTGAATTAGCATAATTTAAACGATGTATTTTCCTACTTTCGTTTTAAGTCGTATATACTTGTATTTCAATGCACTTTAATACATGCTTTGATCAATTCTAGTTTTGATTATAACATTTTACAAAAAAAAAAATCACACTCCGTTCAATTAAAATTTGCATACATATATATTATACTACGAATGTAAAAATAACTCCTGTCAATACATGTATTTTTAGACTGACCTTTTTATATTGTTATTAACCATAAATTACATATAATATAATAGATTAAAATATTTTAAGCATTATATAAGATCAAGAGCATAAAATTTATTAAGTATTTTCATTTATTTTCCCAATATAAGTAAACATCAGTGATTTCTGCTCACAAATAGTTCATTGTCTTTGAACATTTTTTCCTGCACAAATAAAGCACGTACTTTATGTTCTGAATGAAAGAAAAAGTTTCGATATGCATATCTTTATATGATATATTTTTTCTTGAATCCTGATAACAGTTTCTATTGGTGTTTAGAGCTTCCTTAAAGGGGGTAAAACAACAAAAAGCATGGTTAATAAGATAAATGGAGCCTCATCAAAACATCAAAATATGCTTTTCTCGGGTTATGAATTAAAGAACAAGGTTCATGTTTGCCTTATTTGGCCCAGTGAATGCATTGACAATTATTGACAAAACAGTCCTTAGCTCTATGGCCTCATCCACCACGTTACGGCACTTAAAAGGGAACTTTGTTTCGTCAGAACTCTGTATTGAGCTCGATTCTTCTGCTCTTTGTTGTGTACTGGTCTCTCTGCGATCAGACAAAGTGGCTATTTTATTCTCGAGGTCTCGCATAGAAGACCAAAGTTCAAATCTTCCCGTACCTTTGTATCAGCATCCGATCGCCCCTCTAATTCACAATGTGCTGTTCTGGCAAAACTAACATCGTGTCTTCTCCGACGTTCAGCTCTACAATTTACAATCTCCAGAGCCAGCCCAACTAAGTCATTTAAGGATTTAAAGATTTGGGCCGTGACTGCTGTATTCTAAGGCGCATATCAAAGTTCTATAGGGCGTCGATGAACTGGTCTTTTGAACTGGTAATTAAGGTCTTCCGTTTCCAACGGAAGACCTTCTACTGATTCTGAAGATTAAGATTATTATGGTCTTCCGTTTCCACCGGAAGACCTTCTACTGATTCTGAAGATTAAGATTATTAAGGTCTTCCGTTTCCAACGGAAGACCTTCTACTGATTCTGAAGATTAAGATTATTCTTATTATTCTTTTTTTTGTTTTCTTCCTAGACGCCAACTTTGAGGCCTCATATCTCACTCAATTCTCAATGGATTTTGCTCAAATTTTCAGACATTATAGACGGTTATAAACTCTATCAGAATGCTGTCAATAATTTCAAAAAGTCACTTCCGGTTTTGAGTTATTTCCCTTTAAACGAAAAATTATAGGCTTTCATTTCCAGACAAAGGCTCAGAGACCACTAGAGCTGGAGCAGAAATTTTACTGGTTTTAGATAACAGAAGGATTGAAGTTGTGCACATCGGTTTTTGTTTTTCGATTTCTCTATTCAAAATGGCGTTATACAGGGGTCAAAAAATAGAACGCCTAAAAGAGCGAAAATTTACACATGTTTTCCCTTTTATCTTGAAAACTAAAAATATTTTGTTAAGTCATGTTGAACAAAAGTTGTGCATAATTGCAAGGGCTTTCATATCATACTATTCAAAAGGGGCTGGCCTCTATGATTAGGGATTTAGGGAGCTTGAAAATTTTTGCTTTATAACTCAAAAACGGTAAACATTTGGATCTGGATTATACGAACAAAATTGTTCTTTGACACCTTTTTAATCTGATGAAAATGTTTTGTGTTCGATTATACCGGAGGTATTGCGTAATACGTAGTTGAAAGCAGGCCAGGTAAACAGGTAGCGTTTTTCATTCGGAAAGGAAATCAGACCTCTTCATGTGTATAATTTACACAAACTTCCTATCAGTAATAAACCCTATGGTATTTAATGTTAATTTTCTTCTAAATAGGGCTTTATACGTGCTTTACGGTAAAAATTGCGGTTCACTATTAAATTATTTATAACGATTAGTCTTTCTTTTTTATCTATTATTAATTAGTTTTATAGTGAACACGTCTTCATAAACGGAATATATTAGATCTATCTTTCTACATTGATTATTATAACAATTATAAGTTATTTTAACTTTATGCATCGAATAATTCACGATCATTAGTTGTATACATTTGGCGATCTCCAAGATCGCCTAGATGTTTGTAACAGTTATGTAATCCAACACCCGAATCCCACGCTGTCGATCGAGGTCACTAGTGTACCAGCCACCTGTCGTAAACAATGCAAGTGTCTGTGATCGTGTTTAAAATCCATTGTTTACAAAGACCTATCAATTTATAGAAAATCATGCTTTTAATTTATCGAATCAATAAGAATACTTCACCGATCTTTCATTTAATCGTAATTCGAAACACTGGTGCATAAATCATTTTGAATTGTGATCGCTTTCTTTGGCCTGTTCACGCAAAAATTATTTCTCTATTCCGTGTTAATGTATTTTATTTAAATTGTAATTGAAAAGGGGCTTCGGCAAATAATTATAATTAGTGATGGAAGTCTTGTGATATAATGTACTATTATGTACGTTTTATTTTTACCATCACTCTTTTGTTTCTCCATTATTTTTTTTTATATTAATAAACATTGAACGTTAAAAAAATACTTTAAAATATACTATTATTCACGTATTTGTAATAAACAGTTTACATCCAGCTTTGTCGCTTTGTGTCTAAAATTTTGTATCCCAGTCCTCATTTACAAGCACGTGTCCGCAGATAGCAGCGGGTATATCAGTTGTGTACTCCGATAGTTACAAATGGAAAATTGGGTTTGAAATCATCATGATCATGTCGACTCCTTTCATATCATTCAATTATACTCTATTTCAGCTTGTTTTAATCAATCGTAATCGCTTCTGCATTTATTCATTTCAAGTTTTATGCTTTTTGATAGCCCCCAAAAAAAACACGAGCTAGGTTTACACCATTTTTCCCTGTATTTATCGAAGTGGTAATTGTTTTATGAATCTTAAACTACATGTACGCATGCATGATAATTGTAAGTGGAGTTAACGTTTCTAACTCACAGGGGGAAATCCAACATGAAATTAAGCACTTTTGAGTTTGCAGTTATTTGCTACTAGACTTAAAATGATATTGTACAGAATGGTATACTATTTCGTCCAATAAACAGAATATTTTATATGCCTGTACATGTACAATGTCAGTACGAATTTAATTGATGCAAAGCGTCAAATTGGCTGCAAAGCAAAAAAATTCTTTCACATGCAGGAAAGCACGTCAAGATATTCAAAGCTGAAATAGTTTTTCAATTCTATTTCAGGCTGTTTTCAAAGGAAAATAAAAAATAATTTTACCGCATTTGCTCATAAATAGATTTATCGATGTTAAAAATAATCATGTTCATTAATGTATAAGAAGAATTTATTGTCATCAAAATGAAGGTGTAGGCCTGTCCGAGCTTCGATACCCTGGATCTTGATTACGTGATAATGCTCATGGTTTCTGCAGAGCAGGCTATGCTGCAAACCGCAGTGCAAAATTTAAAAAAAATATCTTCATGATCTATGTGTCATTTGTAGATGTAGAGCAAATTCAAAACAATTTTTACTAGAAGTTGAAAAACTCCTCATTATTTTATTCACCATGCACTTTAACCACATCATCATTATCCGGAAAATCAAGAGATTTCTTTTCAAATCTTACACACTCTCAGGCTGGGGAGTATCTGATGTAAACTCTTTTTATATGACCATAAATTATCGATGATCATGAGATATTAATGACAATGAAATTGAAATATATTTCAACATTTAATATTAAGTTTAAGCAAGTTTTTAAAATATTTTACGCATGATTTTTACTTGTTATAATTTACGAATTATTTTATTGAAGTAATAAAAAAAACGTCTCATTTCCCCATGTGCACTCTCTAACACAATCACATAAAGATTGGCCGCTACCGCAGCCGATAATAATTACATGTTTTATATGTATGAACTTTTACATAGAAGAGCGGCTAAACATATACATACAGAGCTTTCAGAATACGATTTTACAAAATTAGAAAATTCGTTATTGCCTATTTATCATAAAATATAAATTAAATTCTTTCCTTAATTATTGAATTCCTATGTATTTAACTAGGTACCTTAATTATCGATTCGCTCTGATATTTGGTTGTATAATGATTACAATGTATATAAACGTCCATCTGGTCAGTCATTGTTGCTTGACGACGTCTTGTTTTCTCCTCTCACATTGGTAGCGCGTATGCGGTATGAACACAAGCTTGTAAACAAAATAAACGGCAATTCACAAAAAAGGAAAACCAGAAGAAAAAAAGTGTCTGTGTAGGTGAAAAACACAACTCATTAATTTGTTTTTGAACAACCCCATACGTTTTTTTCTTTCTCCCTTGCATTTCGACTATA